TTGCAGTAACTGTGTGGACGTTGAACTGGTTGAACTGGTTGTAAAACAAAATATAAAACAGCTATATAGCCTCATTTTCAAAATATATCTTGCTTGATTGATTAGTTGCTGCAGACTTATCCAAGCAACCCCTCCACCCATTTCATAAGATATAATTGAATTGCTTTGAGTTGTGCAATTTCTTCTTATCACCCATCTACTTTTTTTAAAAAAGACGTGCTTCTTATCCTTGGTCCTAAATACATTACTTTTTTCATTTTTATATAGGTCATTGAGTCCGTTGTTTCATTGATGTTCATGGAGGTTTGATTCATTTTGTCAGTACATTAAAAAAAATGCAAAATGATTATATCGCGACCTCTCTTCATCCTTTCTTTGAGACTGGAAAAGTTAAGTGCTCTAAACGTTTAACCGTAGCTACAGGAGGACAGAGATGTCTGTGTTATGTGAAGGAAAACAAATCTGATCTGACATCACAAAACCTCAGTCTTATTTACTTCAGCAATTAACTAGAGGGCAGATGCCTGCTGAAATGCAGTTTTTAAAATAACACTGGACAATTTTAATTAAATGTGGTTTTGTTTAATTTCACAGCTCTGGGGCTAATCAATGTTGAAGTGTGAATTATTTTAAGGGCCTACTTTTTCTAAACTACAAATCTGCTATCCCCATAGAACTATCTGGCTACGTGAGTGAATGTGTTCTGCTGTCACATAGCATAGCTCTTGTAAATTAATTCTCAATGTTGTGTGTATATGTTTTCTTTTCACATTTCTTGCAGATATCTTTACTTTCAAATATGAGGACTTGTAACACTCTCAAATATTGAACTCCTACTCTATTCTACTTTTGAAAATGTAATTAAGATTAATAGCATTGTATGGTCATCAAATCTGGGGGTGCCTGGTTTGGAGAGTCACGTATATTAACACAATTAAAAGCTAGTGGGCTGCTTCTTGTGGACGTTTTATCACTTCTCGGAAGTCATGTCAAGAACCAGGTTTCAACAGCAAGCTGTCGCAAATGTGGTTTTCTGGCGTCTCCTTAAAGAGGGGAAGTAAAATAATCAATTGCAGATGGTCTAAAGTGAGTTAATGTCATGAACCCTATAATACTTTTTATCATTAAAGGTCCCTCTCCATTCATAGCCTGTGGCCCCTTACCCACCTGCGGTGTATTCCTCATGCCATAGTTATGCCGCCTTTTTTCATTAATGTGATTCTATTCAAGCACTTGCAAAACAGTAACATTGTTTTAGTTTGAGCATGAAACTGCAGTCACATACTCCCAGCTTTCAATGATGTGCAGTCCAGAGGTGCACCTTGTTTTGTAGGAATCGACTACCTGGCGCTTAATATAATGTTTGTGACTCAGTTGGTGTTCTGAAAGGTTTGCAAAATGTCTTCCAATGTGTTTTCATTTCTGAGTTTGTTGATTCTGTATTCACACGTATTGTATTTTTTTTGTTGTTGGCCCACTGGAATCTGTGAGGAATGTGGGTGGAAATTCCAGCATCACAAAAGTTGCAATACCTCTTTCTTGTATGGGCATGACAAACCCTGCTCCCAGGTTACTATCAGATAAGTGATAAATGCAAGGTATTTGGCCTCAGAAATGTTCATCTTGCTACAGGAAGTACTTATTTTGAAATAATTATGAATTGTGTTGTTATTAGGGATTTTTGTGCTCTTTGAAAGAGCATTGTAATAGATCAGGATATTAGTATCTGAACACAGTATACAAAGGAACCAGAGCCCCCTCCAGTTGGGGCCAATTTGGCACAGAGCCTAAAACCCTTCCACAGCTGGATCCAGACACGTATTTAACCTTGGACCCCTTTCATAGAAGTGACACAAAACCATCTGAACTTCCCAATTTTTTTATGATCAAGAGTAAGCATAGAATGTTAGCGGTAATCAAGGATCTTGCCTTAATGTTACATGTATCTCCTACTTCAATATTAACTATGAGTAAACCACCATGCTGTACATTGTAGGGAATAGTTCACTGCCATGCTTCAGATGTTAAAGTGATAAATTAATATATACAGGATAAGTGCAGACGCTCCTTTTTTGTTTTAATGGTCGAAAAGATGTTTGATTCATTGGTTTATTCCTGTGTGATAGTTTGACATTCTGTATTGATCATTGCCATGTTTATTTTACGCAGGAGACAGTTATCTGGCTTTATTAACCTAGCAGTCTGTTTAATCCCATAATGTACTTTGTTCCAAAAAGAACCTTGTTAGGACTCCCACCATCTGTGTGCATATGGTTGTAAATTACCACAGCTGTGAGAGAACACAGGAAGAAGCAGTCTGTTGAATTTGTGGTGAAGAGAGAACTTGAGCAAAGGTATGTTAGAAAAAGTTTGCAGCAACAGTGTAGCAGAACTAAATAGATTAAAATGATAAACAGGTGGTTTCAGTTTAAAGTGCAGTTTTGGTTAAGGTAATGGGAATGATATATTTTCCTTACTTAAATAGGTTTGTACTCATCTTCACAATAAGCTGTTTCTCTGCTTGCATTCTCTGTTCTCAGGCTGTTTGTCATTTTTCAAAAAATATTTCAAATTAAAAACTGTCCATTGAAGCAAGGAAATGACATGATGAATATTATACTACGACTGGTCTTTGTTTGTAGCAAAGAAGCTTGAAGATCAAGCATGTGGGGCTTATTAGATTTAGTTGGAGAGCCACCAGAGATCTAGTGGCTATCGAAAGTATTCTTGCATTTTTTCACATTTTATCATTACAATATGGAATCATAATGCATTAATTTGGGATTTTTTGCCAGTGACCAACACAGGACCCTCTATAACCTCAAAATAAAAACTAAATTCTAAAGATCATTCTAAATGATCAATATCCTAAATTATAAAATAGAAAATAACTGATTGTTACATATTTACCCCCCTTGAGTCAATATTTGGTAGAAGGACCTTTGGCAGGCATTATAGCCACACCTGAAGAAGGCTCCACGGCCGAAACGTTGTGTTCTCTTTCTTCTTTTTTTCAGCATGGAATAAACCTATTACTTGTTCCTTTGCAGCCTACGCATGCTGACGCAGCTACCCACCTGAACTATTATAGCCATGTGTCTGCTTGGATAAGTGTCTAGCAGTTTGCAGATGTGCAAAGCTAGAATTTATGCCTATTCTTTTTTTTTTGTGCAAAATTGTTAAAGTTCCCTCAGGTTGAATGAGGACTGTTGGTGAACAGCGATGTTCAGCTCCTTTTGATAGCCACTTTGTACTGAAATCTGTGAATCTCAGCTGTAATCAATTAGCAGAAATCCAGCAAAGAAAGCATTTTTTACAGGTGGTGGGAAGGATTTTTACCTTCCAGCCTTTCAGATAGGATGTTACAGTAACACCAAGACCATTCATCTCCTGAAATTTGCTTCCTCTTTGTAGACTGTGATTAATGTTTGTTTTGCCCGATACATTTCTGCTTTCAGTGTGTTGATGCAAGCAATAGACTTTTCTCTCATCCTTACTTCTGACATTGAGACAATAATACACTTCTACATTGTCTTCATTGTCTCATTAAGTGGAGTCATAGTCTTGGTCAGCTATTTGAGCACCCATGCTGTGGATAGTGCGATTTTGGGCTGTGAGATTTCACTCCATCACTATGCCAACAACTCCTGAAAAGGTGCTTGGTTAAAGTCACTTTGGAATCCCATGACCTGCAAGAAGGAGACTACTCTAACTCCAGTGTGGATGTTGAGCAAGAGATTGCATGGTGGTTCACACTTTCATAGTCTTCTGAACTTCAGAACTGAATGAATCAAAATTTGTTGGATTTCATTAACCACCAAAGGTTTTGTCGCACTTGTTTCTGAAAAGTTGCTTAAATCCTTTTTAAACTCTTATGGCGTCATATTCTGTTTGGAAATGAGGCCAACATGCAAACGCTTTGTGCTCGATAACCTTTAATTTAGTTCCAATTCAGCTTAAATTGGCCAGTCAACTCCAAATTTTGTAGGTATAATTCTAAATAGGTATTTGTTTCTTTCAGATACTTTTTGGGATGTCTCTGCTACTAGACAAGATGAAAATGTTTATTTGTAGCCTTAGTCCATAACTACTGTAATTGAACACAAATGCTGTTGTGGTGCAACATGAGTACACGACAACAATCTAATGTTGCAACTATAGCACATAAAGGTTATCACATTGGAGTTGCATTTCTTACTAAGCTTGTGTCACACTATTCCTTACTAGAGTAGCTGTTACTTGTATTCATGTCAGTCTGCTACAAAGTCACATTGACAAAAGTAGTCTGACTTGCTTGATGTGTCAGTAATTCCCTTTCCTTATGTCACACAATGAGGGAGCGTGGGAAGGAGGTTATGAATTAAGGGAAGGATAAATTTAGGACTAAGTCTGGAGGGAAAAAAAACGTAGTAAGCAGTTATCAAGCCTGGTTTGTCTATGAAATGTGAAATCGGGTGCAAAGTACAATATTCTGTAATATTAGGAAGTTGTTAATACTTTGCTTACATCTTTCTGCTTAAAATAGTGCTTGGTTTTTACTTCTTCAGTTGACGTAAGTTTGTATCGCGTGGTTTCTTTGCTGTTTGAATTGTGAGCAATTCACAACAGACTTTCATGACTGTTAATGTCATGTGTTAGTTATCAAAAAGTCTTTCAAGTCTTTAAAGATGTAAAATTCATGCAAGGATAATTGGTTTTCATAAATACTTTCCTGCTCACAGCACACAGCATTAAGTATTAAAGGGTAGTTTGATCTACTTACAGTATCTTTCACATCACAAACAATAAAATGTTTGTAATGTGAAAGATTAGTAGATCATTACTACCTTACACATTGTAAATAATAAAGACTAGCCTGTCCTAGTATCCCAGAAAAATGTTTTTTTGTTTCTTTGTTGTGCACTTGATCTTAATATCATGCCTGGCTGTTCTATTTTAATAGTCTAATTAAATGTTCTCCTAGTTATGATTGTATTTAAATTATGCTCTTTTTCTTACAGTGGAAGTTGTAGTGGAGTATGACTATGAAGCCCTCCATGAAGATGAGCTGACTATCCGACTGGGAGATGTTATTAAAAATGTGAGGAAACTGGAGGAAGAGGGGTGGCTGGAAGGAGACTTGAATGGGAGGAGGGGTGTGTTCCCAGACAATTTTGTAAAGGTAAGCATCACGCATCGAGAGAAGATTGTGCAGCCCTCCATTATCATTTGGTAATTTTTGTTACATTACATTTCTAAATTGATCAATTTCAGAGTCCTTGCTAGTTATGGAACATCAGCTTTTATATTGCTGTGGTAGAAACTTAAATCGCGCTTCAGCAATTTAGTAGATTTCATACTGCTTTGTACAGCAGTGTGATGACTAAAAGCAGACTGTCATAAAAATGACCCCCTTTTTATGTGAGGAATTTGTGAACACTGTCAACCATGCAAAGAGGGAAAGAGAAATAGACGAATGAAAGCTTTGCCGTTTGTTAACCATATCGTATGCAAGGCAACTGAACATGTGGGTTTGACTCATTACTAAGCAGAAATGTCTAGTAATGTAAAGTGCATTACATTCTGCACCTGAATCTAGTGTTATGCTGCTCCTTCTCACGTAGTCGATTTATTTAAAAATATCGTGTTGCAATTCTTACAACCTGATGGCATCTCTTGAATTTGAGGTTTCTCGTTAAGCGTGTTAATTTCCTTTCTATGTGCTTGCCAGTTATGCACACTGTTCCGACATGGACTGAAGTGTCACGTTTGTGCAGTAAAGAGGAGTTGTGGTTATAAATAAAGTAATTAAGCTAACCACTTTTTAAAGATTTTTCTGACTCCCTATGCTTTTCTTTTATCCTTTTTTCTTGTGTTTATTTGGATTTAGAGCAGAAATGTACTCAAATCCTACTGTATCTTGCATTTGCATGAGTTTTTCTAGTGGCTGTTTTGAATGTTTCACTATAAGAATTAACCTTCTACATTTTTTTTACCTTGCATCTTAAGAGTGAGGAAGTATGTATCTTTGAGGAATGTTTGTCACTGTACCCATCCATTGGTACACAAATGGGGAATATACTCTGTTGTTCTGTTGATATCTAAATCTAATCAAGTAAATGTATACGATAAGGATGCTGAGTTCATTACGGGCACAGGTCTGTTAATGATAGCCTGGAAGACAAAAATCAAACGGATCTAACAAGAAAGTCACATCAGCAAGTCTCATAAATCCATCATTCAGACCCAATCGATTGATCCAGACCAGACTATACCAATGGAAAACATCTACCCAACTATAGATCATGATGACCTCCAGCCCGAAAGACCCAATCAACGTGATATCCTCCCTAAAAAAAGATTCCACTGTGAGCTTTACTCTTTGGCTTTTCTTTTTACCTTCCTGCACCCTAACCATCTTGCCAAGTGCACCATCATCCACTGTGGGAAATCTTATTTGAAATTTGAACCGTTTCCAAAGAGCTGATCTTTTAGTGCAGTTTTAGCCAATGTGTGGGCAGGACCAGAGCTCGGTGCCTGCATGTGGGAAATTTGGAAGGTTCCTATAATGAACATTCCTCTTTGTGTTTTCCAGCTGCCACAGGCAGTGGAATTGCCGACCATTGAATTAAAAAGTATTTAAGTGGCTAATGTGAATGTGGAACCAAAAGTCGTTCATGCTGTGAAATATCCCAGAACACACTTTGTGTGCCAGCTTACTGCCCACTTCAGTGAAAAACCTAAACCGATAAACCTGAAGTGCAAGTTTGCACAATGAATGCCTGTCTACTGTGGGAAGTTCGTGGACAAATGGGAGGATTGGAAGCCCGTTTGTTGAATGCTCATTTAATGGATGGTGAGCCCGAGTTCAGTCAAACAAGGTGGACTCGCATTTTAATGTTCCCATTGTCATTTAATGAACTTTATGGCTTGTGGTCTGAACTCATTGCTGTTATCTTTATTGCAAATTAATATTACAAGTACAACTTTGTATCAACAACAGTGTTTATGTTTTTCCAGAGACCAGAATCACTGTTGCACATAGGAAACTAAAAAAAAAACTAGACAGAAGAGACAGAACTAGATGTCTCTTGAGGGTATACTTATACTTAGGCCACAAAATGTTATTTTTGAAAGGCGGTGTAGACTTTCCATAGACACTGTATTCCACTTCTCAATAATTGTCTTCACTCTACTTAAAGTGATAAATAACTTTTTTCTGATCTCTCTACCACTTCATGCCTCTCTTGTTTGAAAGCCCCTTTGTCTTCATCATTGATTTTGAGTTGAGACTTGAAATTCAGTGCTGAATGATGCATTTACTCTGAGGTTGAGTTTAACCACTTTGATTACTCATTAAATAGCTGTTGCACTAATTTTTGATCTTTGAAACTGTTGGTTTAGTTCACCAGGTGAATAATTTTGTCAAACAGTGTAAAATGGACAAATACCAGTATGGTATTTTTTTCTTTTGCAATGTGAGCTGCCCAGGTTCCATACCCTGTCTGGACTGTTACATGTCATTAAGAAAATTATGATCTTCGTTTGCTTAAGCTGTCCTTGGACTGCTTTCTTTTCTGTGAATATATTGCTTAAGTATACTCTCTCTACACCTAGATGTGTTCTCAATTACTGAAAATGTTAGAAAAAGCTTGGTAAACCTCTTTGTAGAAAATTTGTTTTCGATAGCACTCATGCCTACTGACCGGATGCCTAGACCAACTGTTTGGCAGTTTTATTAAGAGGGAAGGTCTTTGTTACTGTTGTCTCCCTTTTATATCGTCCAGTAATGTCTTGTGCATAAGATATTAACTGCTAGGTTTTGGCTTGTCACACAATTCTACCTGTGCTTAATAAGTGATTTATTTTGGAGGCAACTGCCTTATGCTGTGATGTGAAGAGAGTAACACATTTTTTAAAAAAAGATTGTCCGCTAGGGTTCATTGTTTATCCCCCAACTTGTTACAGTAACAATTTTCCTTTTATTCTCTATAAATTGTATAAATTGAAGGGGTTTTATGCTTTCCCCATCCATCCATTTTCTTACCACTTTATCCAGTACAGGGCTGCGGGGGAACTGGAGCCTATGCTGGCAAGCAACAGGTGCAAGGCAGGATACACCCTGAATGGGATGCCATTCCATTGCAGGGCAGACAAACATGCACACGCTTACAGGGCCAATTTTCCCAGAAGACAATTTTGTGTGTTTTTTTCATTGACAATGGACTTGCCAACAGTGGCATTTTGCTAGTATCTTTGGGGTTTATTTCAAACATCTAGGAAGTCAGTAAGTTTTCAACTAATTATTTTTTTGACTAGAAGTGAGCAAATGAGCCTTAATATTTACTTTTGACTTTTAGATCTTTATCTGTTTTTTTTTTCTTTAAGGAAAGGATTTTTATAATGGTGAACTGTTGCGTACTGTAATCTGGAGTAACGTGATTGGTTTATCCTAAGGTGCCTGAAGGCAAATTGGAGATCATTCTGAACTTTGGTCTCTGTGTTTGTGGTTTTTTAACTTAAGGCAGGGTGTGTTCTCAGCAAAAAATGTCAGAGGATTTGGTAAGTGGAACTAAATGCTTAGGTTTTTACTCTTTTTACTGGTGTTGGAAATCTACATCTTTTGAGTTTTTGTTGCTTTTGTATGAATCTACTAGATTACATATGAAAGATTCAACTGAGTTGGAATGAATTAACTAACATTTTATTAATCTCCATTAATCTTTTTGTCAGGTTAGTTTAAGGTTTGTTTAGGTTAAACTGACGACTTAATTCAAATAAATCTTTTTTTTCGTGCAAGCAATTGGCTTATTTTGATATTTTTTTTAAAGATGGTGGCACTTCTTGACTGCGGGCATTGAGATAAAAAGTTTCTGAATTCTGTAAACTGAACTGTACACATTTTAAAATGTGATTGAGTACTTGAATTCCTTCTTGTCTGCAAACAATCAGGTGCTGTGTGAACTATCTGGAGTACAATGTAGCACTTATGTTAGGGAAATGGAGAATCCTTGCATATTTATGCAAAACAGATTTGCAACAGTGTATTGGACTAACATCTGGTATGAGTATGGAATATGGCCTATGGCATAGTTTTATAAGGATAGAGACTAGAAACTTAGAATAATTATATTTACTGCAGTGTAAATGTGTTAAAAAATCTTAGAAGTTTTTAAATAGTGTCATAGGGAAAAAATGTCACTATTTTAAAAAGAATGTATGTTATAGTGGGCTAATATATTTAAATCTCTAAATTGTTTTTATGTAAATAATATGTTACACTTCAATGGATAGTGTTCATTTGAAAGAATGGGGAAATATTGAGTTTCACTACTGTCTTGATTGGAAACAATTGTCAGTGAGCAATCTAATTGTCTTTGAATCTAATTGTTTGCCTTTAGCTGTTAGAAAGATGTTTCTAGTTGCTTGTTAGAGAAACTATGATCCGACTTTCAGTTTGTAAGGAAAAGCCTTAAATTGTATCCATTTATTTAATTCAGTATTTTAGGAAAAGGTAGACTGAGTTGACATATATTACATACTTTAGCAAATGGGGGAAAAAAAAAATATCGTAACATGTACTGTATGTTCTTAAGGGATTTTAGCTTCAATCCAGTCTGTTATTCCTTTTCTGCTTGAATTTGGGAGACTGTTATGATAGAGCTTTATTCAGTATATTGTAATGCAAAGAAAGACAATTAGAACTAAAATATCTTGAATTGCTGCTGCCTTACAATGTCTGGGTTCAGTGAAGGACTGGGGGGGCACCATCTCTGGGGAGTATTTATGTTCTTACAATGTTAATGTGGGTTCTTGCCATACGCTCTGGTTTCCACTCGCCTTCCAAAGACTGCTGGAAAGTTTAAGGGTTCTCTCTGAATTGTCCTTGTGTTATCCTGTGTGTGCCCTGCGCCAGACTGGCATCCTGTCTTGCTCCCTAGTCATCTGGGATAGGTTGCAGATTACTGTGACTCTTACCTGAAACAATAGATGACTGTTTTGGAAATTTGAGTATATTACATTGAGACTCAGGACTAAGGTTAGTGGTCACTAAAAGATCCCGGTGCCCTGGGCTATCCCAGTGTCCGGGCCAAATTTCCCTCCTTGGCTTTTACCTTGTCCTGCGATGGACTGGCGCCCTGTCCAGGGTGTACCCTGCCTTGCGCTCGTTGCTTGTCAGGT